TACCACAACCAGATTTCAAAGAAAAAGGTTAGCCAGACCAGAAACAGAAGAAGAAGAAAATCGTACCAAAATTAGGAAGACTAACACCCGCAACAAATGTCATGGATGTCTACAATATGATTGGCTATCATGTCATCTCGTCAATCCTTCGTTGGTTACCAAGAAAATCAACAGCCAACTTGTTTTTGACTAAGGGTGACGCCAAATTAGAGGCTAAAGGTTAGGATATTTAAATCATAACCATTTGAACATGGTTATTGTATTTAAACCATGGTTTTTTATAACTAATTTTATTTAATAAAATTGATTCTAATTTTTTAAAAAATAGGTATATGACCGATTATATATTTAAAATCAATTATATATATTATAACTAACAAATTATTGTCGAGTTGTATTAGACTTTTTTTAAGTTTAGACTTTTTTTTAAGTCTTATGTTATGTATGAAAAATATGTGATTAGAAAAAAATTCCATTAAAAATGATCAATCAAATTTTTAATAAAAATTGATCATCAACTAATTTTAAAATTAAAAATCAATTCTACCAAATCAAAACTAGTTTTAAAAAAAAAATGATTATTGTTTGGTTATAATATCCGCTTATAATATTTGATTAATTTTTATAACACCTCGACCTCAAGTTTTCTGCTAGATATCAGGTGGACTTGCATTTTGAGGATAGTTCAGTCACATTTAGAAATTACCAAATTATGTCTTATTATAATAAATATCATGAAAAAATTATTTAATTAAACTTGATTATTGATCTCGACTAAGGTAGCTAAATGACTTAATTAAACTACTAAATCACGTGAGACGCATCCTTGTAGCTGATCTAATGCAAAACGACGCCGCTGTAATGGTGGACTTAAGCAAAGGGTGCTGGTAGAGAATTGAAGGCGTGTTTCTGCATCAACGACTTGTACAACTTTTAATGTACAAAGTTATGTATGTAATTGTAAACACAAATATTTTTATAAAATAATTTAAATTTTAAATATTTATTAAAAATAAATGTAAAGAAATTAAATAATAAAATATTATTATTATGACTTTTTGACTTAAAGTTTTTAAGTCTTTATAAATATTAATATTACAACCTCTTCCATTGCACTCCACAACAATTTCATTGGGATCCAAGTAACAACTCACTTCAAGAACACCTCGGATCATATATCATACTTCTTCATTAATAATAACTTGTGATTTATTAATCGGTAAATTCTTTCGATCTGTTTGATTTCCTAATAATTATGATAATTGTTTTACGTAAAATCATTAGATGAGAAAAAAAAAACAAAAATAAAAGTTAAATTTTTGTCTTAAATGCAAAAATACTTACTATCATCCTACCTCTTATTATTATTTCATACTATCACGATCACTTACTATTAATATTGTTAACTAGTTATTACTATTGCTCATTACTTTTTATTTTTTATTATTTTTACAATTTTGTTACCATCACTTTTATTAAGATGATGATAATAACAATAACAATAATAATAATAATTAATATTTTTTAAAGTATTATAATAAATTTAACATTTATTATCCAATATTCACTAAATAATATACAAAATAATAATTTTTTTAGTAACTAAAACATTTATTTTATATTATTCTTCTTGTTATATATACGCATTAATGCATAACAAACATGCCCTTTATCTATTAATTTGCCTCCCTTTATAACACTATAAAAAATTGAAACAATATACAAGAAATGAAATTAAATATGTCCATAAAAGTTGTCAAACTAAACGTATATGCTTAGACAAACTACTTAGGCATTCCCAGCATTTGTTTGATCTAATTAGATTGTTCCGATGATTAAAAAAGAACAAAATTACAAAGTAGTTCACAAAATAAGATGAAAGAATTTAGTTTAATAATTGAATAAACTTGTATTATGTTAAACTTTCTTTTTGTCTATATCTATGTATGTAACGGACATGCATTTGTCTAACGGCACACAAAAGAACAATGTGTGTTTTTATAATACATAATTTGATTAATTTATTATTAATTTGTGTCTTGGTTACACACGGAGGGGCAATAAAATAAAGAAAGCTACATGACAGGCATACGAAGGAAAGAGACAGCAACTGTGAAGGAGGTGGCTGTTACAGAAGTTGTAAGGCTAATTAAGTGCAGGTTAAGATAAGCCAAGTAATTAGTAATTAGTAATTACAACTTCATTGCCTTCTTGCAAGCAATTAATTAATGGGCTAACTCTAACCCAACTAGCTTCACGAGGCACAGGCTCACAGGATACATCTCAACACGTCAAACGCCTTCGATAAGTTTTTTTTTAATTTATTTATACAATGACGTCATCAGATTTTTAATATAAATTTATGTAAGTACTACTACCGGAATCTAGATTAAAAATATGGCACTGCTTCTCTGGAACAAAAATTAAAATAATTATATTTATTTGATCCACCGTCTTAAGAAAAATCGTTTTAGGATAATTACGTGAACAAAAAAACAATCGTTTTCTCAGATACAAATATTACTTGTCTAACTTCTATTTTATTTTGGTAAAGTATGTTTGTCAAGTATTTGATGAAATTATAGTTTTATTTTTACTAATTTATAACTTAATTTGATGACAAATATATTTATTTGATGTGATAGTTTATTTTAAAAGTTTTTAACATATTTGACAAATGATATTTAGTTTGATGACAAATAGATTTCTTTGATGTGATAGTTTATTTTAAAAGTTTTTAACATATTTGACAAATGATATTTAGTTTGATGACAAATAGATTTCTTTGATGTGATAGTTTATTTTAAAAGTTTTTAACATATTTGACAAATGATATTTAGTTTGATGACAAATAGATTTCTTTGATGTGATAGTTTATTTTAAAAGTTTTTAACATATTTGACAAATGATATTTAGTTTGATGACAAATAGATTTCTTTGATGTGATAGTTTATTTTAAAAGTTTTTAACATATTTGACAAATGATATTTAGTTTGATGACAAATAGATTTCTTTGATGTGATAGTTTATTTTAAAAGTTTTTAACATATTTGACAAATGATATTTAGTTTGATGAAGCAAAAGTGATAATAAAAATTGGTGCTAAATAACCTGAACACGGATACAACAAATTTAACAAACTAGTTATGATATTTACTATTCGATCTAGTGATAGAGAATTTGAATAATATGTATGAAATTTTCAGTTGAAATTTCAATATGAGATTATCAACAGAGAAAAAATTGTGTAAAAAAAATGTAAATCTAATGATAGAAAATTAATATAATATGTATAAAGTCTTAAATTCAAATTATAAAAAAAAATATTAAAAAATTATTTTCATGGCAAATATGTATGTGAGTAGAAGAATAACTTAATACCTTATTTCATATCATGTCAGGATATGGTAAGTCAAAGGTGCAAACAATGTTCTAATGCATGTAAAAATGAATTAATTAAATTAATTAAAAATAAAAATAAAAACAATGGAACTTTTTGAAGAAGAAGAATAAGAAGCATAAAAATGTTATGAGCAGAAACGGGCGTGAGACAAAAAAAATTGTCATGACTTAGAAAAAGACCACAGATTATTGATTTTTGTGGTTGAAAAAAGGTTTACCTTAATTTCAAGGTAAATGTCAAATTGCTCCGGCGTGATAATTGCAATCCCAGATTTTTTAGGGAAAACTTGTGAGTTGATGAGTAATTAATTGTCTATACTCATTTCTCCTAGATTCAGGAGTATGCTACTTATGTTTCAATAATTTAGCATTTGTTTAGTCTTTGTCTAAACATGGATGAATTCATACGCTCATTACCAACTTAATATGATAACACATAAAATACTACTCGAAAGGGTACAACACATCTAAAAAAACTATTCAGTTTAATATACTTTAAAATAAAAATATTATTATTATTTTCTTAAATTTAATTTATATACAAAATGCGCTACAACCAGAGATATTTTTTTTGACAGAGGTTAGACCATTAGATGCGCACGAGGAAGTTCGGAGCTTTAAAATGTTAAATAAGAAGAACCAAGAACACTTGGTGAAAATGATAGAGCACAACACAACACAACCCACAATAACTTACTGTACGCTTGAGAAACCGACAAGGCCACGCACGCACCACCAAAATTGTTATGTTACTCACCTATAAAAAAAAATGCCTATAACAATAAACGAAAATCGTAATATCTTAGTACTATTACCAAAATTTTTAAAAAGAAGATAGAGATTAATTTCGAATGTAAAGATATAAACAAATATCTAATTTGAATGAGTTTCACTAAAAAAATAATTTTCATAATATAAATAAATTATGAATTAATCATTCATACACGTGTAAAGTTTTTTACACTGACAACTAATCATATCTTTTAAAGTTATTTATTTTATTATTATTTCATTAAATAAGCAACTGACATGACACTATTAAAAGATATGATTGGTTGTTAATATAAAAAAAATTTATACTGGCAGTATATAGATGATTAACTCATAAATTATGATCATTATCATAATTATTAATACATAGATGGTCGCAGTGAGGATTAAACCTATATTCTCATGCTCCTAACTACCTCAATCCCTTCCCACCCAACTACTAGACTAAGTGGTATATCATAATTATTAATACATCTATCATTATATGTATATCATTATATAAAATGAATATTTATTTTGTTAATTATTTTTTATTTATATTTTTTGACAATTCTATTTTTTATTAATAATTTTTCACATAATAATTATTTCCAACTAAACTCTACCCACTTCACTTTTAAAAAAAATCATTTAATTGAAATGGATAACTGTTTACAACTAATATTTTTAAATAAAAATACATAAAAAAAACATAATGCTTTCTTCTTTTTTATTTTTCTTTTCTAAATAGAGTGAAAAGAACCGTATCTCTTAAATATTTATATCTATATTTTGTGTTTCTATTAAAAATAAAAATAAAAATAAAAAATAAAAAATAAAGAAGGAGGATGCGATGGCAGGAACCTTGTTGTGATGGCAGGAAATGCAATGTAGATGCGGCGATGGAAGCAATGCGTCTCATTCCCTTTCCTCCTTCAACTCCCAAATATTCCATTTCCTTCTTCACCTTACAAACCCAAACCAAATAAACGTGAAAAGTGTGACCCTCTCCCAGATCCTTTTCACAATAACCAGCGACGACAGCGAAAGCTAGAATGTCCCACTTAAGCTTAATACCACAACCTGAATCCTCCGATTCCTTCTCCCCCGGTGGCCTCTTCCTCCACGCTCACACGCTTCCTTCCTCCTTCATTTCCTTCCTTCCTCCTCCTCCTCCTTCTTCTTCTTCCAACAACTCCCTATCATGTTTTTCTTGGACTCTCAAAACAACTGCCATCACTGCTGCTGCTGGTAACTTTTTGTCCTTGACTTTCTCCTTAAACGGAACCGCCTCGGATCACAGATATGCTCGAGAGCCGGGTGAAATTCTGGGGCAGCATCACAACAAGGTGGAAGATGATGTTTGCCAAGAGAAAGAGAAAGAGAAAGTTGTTGTTGATGGATCGGGTGCTATGAACATGACCAAACATCTTTGGGCTGGTGCTGTCGCTGCCATGGTTTCAAGGTCTTCATTCCTTTTATTTATACTATCACATGTTTTTTTCTTGCTTTTTAACAATTTTCTGCACCTTTGACACTCTCGTTCCCTCTTATATAATGCTTGCTCACTACACTAATGATTTTTCTACAGAGTTTAATAGGTATGCACTATGCACTATAGGTGTGAAATTTATAGTGTAGTAAACAGAAATCATCATTGTTGTGGCCTATAAGATAATAATTATAAAATTTAACAAACATATCATTTATGAAGATCCTGTAATTGGATTATAGTATAATAGGCTTTTATACTATTGGTACTATGGGTATATGTATTAGTTAAGAAAAAAGTTAGATACAAATAGCTACTTCTAGTGGTGTTATTCCATTAGAATTAGAGTTTACTCCAATTTTGACCGGAGACCAACACAAAAAGTGCAGGCTACTTCTTGTGTTGTCATTTCTTAAACTCTAATTCTGATCGAAAAACATCATAAAAAGCATCTATCAACTATATCTAAGTTTTGTACTATTATTTTTCTTTTATTATTAATTTTATACTGCCAGTTTGCTCAAGGGTATAAGAGGAGCATGCAAACTGGTGTAAGTCTGTTATGTGGCTTATTTTGCTTGCTGTATCAGGACTTTTGTTGCGCCTCTTGAGAGACTTAAGTTGGAGTACATAGTTCGTGGTGAACAGAAGAATCTCTATGAGCTCATTCAGGCAATTGCAGCTTCTCAAGGGTTGAAAGGTTTTTGGAAAGGGAATTTCGTGAATATTCTTCGGACGGCACCATTTAAGGCAATAAATTTTTATGCCTATGATACGTATAAAAGTAAGCTGACAAGGATGTTGGGGAATGAAGAATCTACTAATTTTGAGAGATTTATTGCGGGTGCTGCTGCTGGGATTACAGCTACCTTGCTCTGCTTGCCCATGGACACTGTAAGTAGAAATTCAGGATCTTGTTTTTGCTTGCTATGTGGTTAAGTTTTGGGTTGTGATGCTCTCAGGAGGAATAGGATAGGATAGAATGGGTAAGCTAAACTTTATTGCTACAGTTCAAGTATAGATACATTTTCTTTGGATTGTGAATTTGTGATGCTCTGAGAAATATGATATGATGAGTATGAATTGATTCTGGCTTGTGTAGTTTGATGTTTATAGACAGATTTGATGCGATCACATTGGTTCTACCTATCCAATCAGTTTTAATTTGCAAAATGCCGTAGCTAGCTACATTTTCTTTGCAAAATGCCGTAAGCATGTCTTTGGTCATAATTCTTGCACTCTTATCTTACCTGTGATATATATGTTCCTCCACGATGCTTCTTGATTCTGGCATAATCATTGTTAAATAACAAAACCTGTGATTTGAATCATATAAAGGGAAAAAAAAAAGCCTCTGCTAAGATTTTATTTGAATTCCAGTGTTCATGATCTATTGTTGCTTCATTCATGTGTGCCTTGTCTTTCAAGATTTTAAGCAAAAAGAGCCTCTCTAGAATTTCATGAAGCCTTCTCAAACAATCTATTTCGACATAGTACAGCTTTTTTTTTTTTATCATTGAATTTTGTTGTGCTTGCATTCTAAGAGTGACTTCTTTCAGATCAGGACGGTAATGGTAGCACCTGGTGGTGAAGCCTTGGGAGGTGTTATTGGTGCCTTCCGTCACATGATCAAGACAGAGGGCTTTTTTTCTCTTTACAAGGGTTTAGTACCCTCCATTATCAGCATGGCACCTTCAGGTGCTGTCTACTATGGTATTTATGACATTTTGAAGTCATCATTTCTGCATTCACCTGAAGGAATGAAAAGAATCCAACACATGAAAGAAGAGGCTCAGGAGCTGAATGCATTGGAACAACTGGAATTGGGTCCTATTAGAACTTTGTTATATGGTGCTATTGCTGGTTGTTGTTCTGAAGCTGCTACTTACCCCTTTGAAGTTATAAGGAGACAGCTTCAAATGCAAGTTCGGGCAACAAGGTTAAATGCACTGGCAACTTGTGTCAAGATAGTTGAGCAAGGAGGTGTCCCCGCTCTTTATGCAGGATTAATTCCTAGTTTATTGCAGGTAGCGCTTCTGTTCTAGATTATATATTTTGATCCATAAAAGCTGTGCGTTAAATTTCAGTAAACAGTTCAAATGAGTGTATGATAAAGTGAACTTCTATTTCATAAAATTTAAGCATCTGCCCCAGTCAATGAAATATTGTTTTTAAATCAACGTTTTAAGATAAAAGGCCAGGCACAGACAATGTTTGGTTTCAATGAAGTTTCCAACTCGAACATAAAATTCTTAAGAAGATGTGTATTACTGTCATGTATAGCAGCTGCTTTACAATCAAAGCTGTCAAATAACAACACTGAAATAGTTACTAATAGTCTTTAAGAAAAGAACTGCTTTTCTCCTTGTCTATGGAGGATAACCAATGAAATTCTCAGAGCTATCCAGGGCATCCAAAGAGTTGCATTTCTGGTAAAAATTAGGGGGGATTTATTAATTTTTTACACGTGTTAAGCATGTGTAGATTTGGACTTGTATACAACTTCTCTCTTCTTTTGTTTCACCAAGTTGAGAGTTGATTTTCATCTTAGTCAATTTGTGACAGGTACTTAACCACCGGCAATCCTTTTATTGATGTTTTAATATGGTGTTTTCAATTTTGTGACTTTTCAGGTGTTACCATCAGCTGCTATTAGTTATTTTGTTTACGAGTTCATGAAGATAGTTCTCAAAGTAGAATCAACATAGATGATTACGACAGCAATACTAACGCTGGATATATACTTGATCATGAAAATGGGAATTTCTCCGCATTTTCTTACCTTGTTACCCCTGTTTTTTGGGTGTCGGAATGTTAGATGCGAGAGGGAATCGAGGGTGTATCACTGAAGCAATTTACTGATGTTTTTCTGTTAGATCTTTTACTAATTTTTTTGCTGTTTATTCAATGATGATAATCTGAAGAAAGGAAAATGAGCATTGGGGATGCTTGGTTACTTAGACTTGAATTTTCAAGAAGCAAAGTCCTAGAAACAATTATGATAGATTTTTTATTTTTTGTGTTTTTTCTCTTTTCAATATAATTATGTCGTATAAATTAACGACAAGATCCAAATCTTAGTTAATTATCTTCCGGTTACCTGTTCAATTGGTAGCATTTGGTACATCATCTATATAGTTCACTCCACTACCTTTATCATTTTTATCATTAATGTTACCACCATCTTTATTATTATTATCATCGTAATTACTATCACCATTATTATTATAATTATTATCAATGTTGTCATAACCACTATATTATTAATTTATTATTATATTATCAATTAATCATTTTTTATTTAACTTTTATAATTTGTCTTTTATATTTTATATTTAAAAACAATAATTATACAATGTTAATTACGTACAAATAAATATAAAATGATTTTTTTCTCTTAACAATTGATATTTTTAGCATTACATACATATACATATATATTGACTAGTTTACCTTTTAATTAACATTATGGGTCACATTATTGCTATACTTTAAATTGCATGTTAAAAATTATCTCACTAATTATATATAAAGTCCAATTTTAAATAATTATACATTAAGTTATTTCCTATTTATTTTTCTTTTTTATTTTAAAATAATCACTTGTGTGTGGTAAAAATAATTGATTTTTTGCACTGGTGTTTTTAAAGAAATTTTTATAAGACCATATTAAAACGATTTTTTTATTTATTAAAAAGTGCAACAACTTATTATAACTTGTATTTAATAAATCATGATTATTAACAGAAAATTTATACAATCACACAAAGTTAACATACAAGCAGTTCTTAGAAGGTACATGTAATAATATAAATATATGCATAATTATAAACTAACCAAAACAATATATGTTTTTTCATTGGAACAATCACAAATCCTATATACATATGTATATACAATAATTCAAAACAATTGAAATGTAGACCTAAGTTGTCAGTCAAACAACTTTACAAAAACTATACAAAAGTAGAATCAAGCTACAATATCATTCAACATGACCTTTAATCGCTAAGCTCAACTGGCCTAATTTTGTGTTACTCCCATGTAAACATGATCATCACAATCTAATAACAAGAAAAACATGTAAGAGTAAGCTAGCTAATATACAAAGAATCAACAAAGTATAGAAGAATTAACTAATTATACTACAACATAATTACACAACACAACATGTTCTCAACGTACAACATAATCATGACACCATAATTCCCCATATAATTGAATTCATAGCATCTCAACTTAAACAACATTACATCATAACAATATAGATCAACATACCAAGTATAGAAGAAAATACAACTATACTATCAAAATCAGTGTGTAAACCATACAACAAACATTTAATGGTCCACAACATGTGAACACAACAAACACCTCAACATGACATTCAACACCTTACAAGAGTAAGAAATTCAACAACATATGACACTTCATGTTTCACCACATCAATGCCATTCAACAATCAATCCGCAAAGCATATGAACACACCAAAACAACACATCATATGCTTACACATTAACTAATGTGTTGTTACGCATTTACCTATGGAAATCTTATACAACAAAGTGAATAATCTAAGTGACCTGACCTTGCAAAATCAACATGATAATTTTCATGTTTTTCATGCCTTCTAGATCAACAATTAAGTTTGATTACCAATTTATAATTACATGATTTCTTGGATGTCGTCACTTAATCTATGAAAATCTAGTACCATTGTCATGTATAACATATCTTTGGTATGAGCTTACCACGACATTGACATACATTAATCAAGTCTCGTATGGATCAGAACTCGACTAACTATCCTCACGACACTACACACCTCTCCAATAATCAGTAAAGGGTTGTATCTATTAACTTCATATCTTACTCCAGCATTAACTAAGGATCTAGAGGAGAATCAATCATTCACTCCAAGAGATGACATCTATTCAATAAGAGTTTTTCAACAACTGTCATAAAACATCATATCAACATTCATACAATAAGATATCCAAATTTCAAAAACACATTTTCCTCTAATCTTAAGTCAATCAACATGCCTAAATGTCTATAACGTTCTCATCACCACACCTCAACAAATAATGCCTAAATGTCTATAGTATTTTCAGCACTACACCTCAACAATATTCATTTATATGCATTACCCTATGTTAATGAATATATCTAATAACACCAATTAATTTACAACATAATTGCACCTTGACAATTCAATCATACAATCCTTTACATATATTATCCCAAAATATTATATTTAAACCCAACTACATCAAGCAACACATAACATGTAATAGATTTATTTAACTTACCCTTGTTCACAAATTAATCATATATATAATAAGTTATTATAAGGCAACCCGCCTAGTACTATCCACCTTACACCTGATGCCATTGAGTTAGGGAGTCCTCTGCCTCATCCACACTTGGCACCATACAACCTGTGTCCGACGTGGATTAGGTAGAGACCCTTGGCCCTCACATTTGACATGACAAAGTCCTACACCAGGTCTCATTCTAGGTAAAAACGAGTCTCTCTCCTCATGCTCGATGTCAATCCAAGCAGAGTCAATTCTCTCATCTCGCATCTGACACCATTCAAACCATGTACAACATGACCAAGTTAGAAACTATTCTCTCTCCACACCTAATGTCACCAATCATGCGTTTGACACGAATGAGACAAAGACCTTCTAATTTGAGTCACGCTCGACGCTATAAAGGCACGTTCAGGACAATAATGAGTTTTGCACTTTGCAAATGCCTAAATTTTCTCACAACACTTGAAAATTAGAAAATTCCCACATGCAATGCAACAATTTTTATATATACATCACCCATAACTCATTTCCATATTTTGATAACAATCAAGCAATATACACATCATACAACTCAACACAAACAAGGTTTTAGTTTCCATTACCTTAGATTCAAAGAGAATGAGGAAGAAAGAAGAAAAAGAAATGATTCCAAACCAACTTATGTTCCTCCTCAACTTGAATCTCAATTTTTACTATGCCGGCTACTCGACAAGGGAAGAAAAGGAATCTCTGAATTGGATTGACGATCAAACTTCATTTACCTTTGAGTACCTATCTCTAACTTCTCTATAGAATTATAGAGTTGTAAACTTATGAAGTTCATTCCTCGTAATTTGTTTTATATATCTCAGTTCTCTTTGGATCAATTATCACACACTTAAGTTATATCTTCAACTCAAGTTTAGAGTTACCATAACTCTAACTTCATATGCACAAACATTACAACAATGAAACAACACAAAACATATTACTTAAGTATATTTATCATAATAAACATAATTAAGAGAACATGATTTTACAAAAAAGTATTTTAATTTTTTTAACTTCTAACAAACCAATTTTATTTATTATATTTATTTATAAACTAAATTTTAATTTTAAAATTATTTATTAATAATTAAAAATAACTTCGTATTCGATATAAATTATTCATCATAAAATTAAAATGTAATTTGTATTTTTAAACATATTATTCATACAATTTTTAAATATAGTATTTTTATATATTTTATAATAAATATTAATTATGTATAATAAATATTTAGTTTATGTAATGTATTTATTTAAATAATATTAGTAATTATAAATCTCACTAATTACATAGGGAAGTATGAAGTGTCCTTCATTTCCTATTTTATATTTTTTTATATAATATCCTAAACATACTCTTCTAAAATAAAAAAAAATTCAGTATAATTATAAAATTATATTCATTTTATCTTATATAAATAGGTAAAAGATATTCAATGTCTCTCTTTAAATACTTAGTGAAAGTAATAAATGATTATTAACTTAAAAAAAATAAACTAATATATATATAAAGTTAAATACTATTAATTATTTTTTAAAAGATTAAAATTATCTAAAATAAAATATACACAAAAATAATGAATTCTCTTACAAGTAAAGATTTCACTTTTATTAAATTTTTTCTCCGGGCCCTCTTCATTTTACATCAGATTAATCATCATTCTTTTTCTATCTGTCTCTCCTTTTTTAACCGTGCACCCTTTAAGGGATGTATCAGTGTCATAGTTTTTTTTTTTATGAATACTCTTTTCTATTTATTATGTTGTAGAGATGGGGAAATGACGTCATATTATCCCTGGGTTTACGCCAACAAAAATCTGAGAAGCTACGACGAAAAGGGTTCATACTAATATAAGCCAAATATCAGTCAAACTGGAATCACACAATGCCCTTTGACTTAGACAAACAATCTTTTCTTTATTTCTTTATCTTCGCTTCAATGCAGTGGCATACAATTATACAACGACGTTTGCTCTCGCAGTCTCACTTCCCGCGTTGAAAACTTTTCCTTTTTCGTTCATTGGTACACTCCCTCTTACCACCACCACCGTTTCACTCTCTCTCCGCGTTAAATAAACTCTTATCTCCATGAACTTTCCTAGTTATTACTACAATTTATTACACAAACTATCTCCTTTTCTTTCTTCTCTCTTTGTTTGCCTTAGATTTACAAACACACCTCAAAGCTCAAAACAACTCACCACTAATCAATTCTTTTCTTTTCTCTCAAAACAAATTCATTGAGTTCATTTCTCACTTCCATGGCCGAAACCAGACACTACGTTCTCCCCTCTCAATTGGGTCAGCTTTCCTTCACTTTAATTTCTCTCTGTGTATCATTGGTCATCGTTTGACATTCGAAAAATTCAAACTTTGTGAAGAAACTCGGAAAAAAAATTAACCTTTTTGAAAGCAACCGTGACAGTGAAGCATTGAAATGCAAGCTTTTTGTGTTTTAACATTTCCTTTCACATGCAAGGATGTATAGATTGAAATTCTTCGTTTTATTTTCCCTTTCTTCGCTTCTCCTTCGTTAGCTTAAGTAACTGTATCGTTGTTATTTACTATTGTTGTTGATTTTTTCTTGAATTCCTATGCTTTGATGGACACAGATATTGAGCAAATTATATCAGAAGCACAGCATCGATGGTTACGTCCGGCTGAAATTTGTGAAATTCTCAGCAATCATAAGAAGTTTCAAATTGCTCCAGAACCTGCTCATATGCCATCAAGTAAGATTCTCTTATATTAAGTTCTCAAAAGCTTCATTTGGAGAAAAGGGTTTATAAAATTGTTTTAATTTTCTATTTGAAGGGGGAAAGTGGAGTCTTAGGATTTTAACCTATTGGAAAAATTTATATCTGACGGGGACTGGGACTTGCTTGAAAACGATTATGCCCAATTTCTAATTGCAAAATGCTCATCATATGGTTTTATCATATTTTTCCTTGACATTAGGTGGTTCACTATTCTTATTTGATCGGAAGGTGCTGAGATATTTCAGAAAGGATGGCCATAACTGGAGGAAGAAAAAAGATGGAAAAACAGTGAGAGAAGCTCATGAGAGACTAAAGGTAAATATACTGCATCTAAGGTCAAAATCCTAAGCACTGTTACAACTCACATCTAGCTTGCACTAAGATGAAAAAACAAAGGTGCTGTAGGTTTTGTTTACTATCATTGAAGCTAATTTTGCTTTAGGAAGTAAAATGTTGTGAGAGTCTTTCTTCTCTTTATAAACTTTTTCATTGCATGCGGCATGATATGATGCTCCTAGGCTGGAAGTGTGGATGTGTTGCACTGCTACTATGCCCATGGAGAAGAAAATGAAAATTTTCAAAGGCGCACGTATTGGATGCTTGAAGAGTAAGTGTTTCTGTTTAACATTTTCAAAGTTCAGTGTAAAAAATCTCTTTTTTATTTACTGTTCTATCTTCATTTGCCTGATTATGCTCTTTGTATTCTTCTCACCTCCAACACCCAACTTTCTGCCTTCCCTTGTTTTCCATCTCACACACACAGTAATAACCAGAAAGAAGGAATATCTTCTTTTAATGTGTTTGTTCTTGCTTGAGGATGGTATGCTTTAACCTAGGACCATTAAGATAGATCCTGTTAATGTTGATTACATTGTATTGGTTTAAATTAACTATAATAGGCTTCTAGAAAATGCTGATTTGTTATCTATGGTTCTTATCTGTGGAAGGGGACCCTCTTCTCACCCCTTTTTATTCAACATTGTTGCAGAGATCTCTCTCACATTGTGCTTGTGCATTATCGACAAGTGAAGGTAACATGTTTCAATTTTATTAGTATTTTTTTGCCCAATTGTTATTTAGTAAAAGCTCAAAAGGAATTGCTTACTTTTACATTCCAGTACAATTAAGAGCACAATGAACTAGTAGCATATTATAATTATGTTGCCGAATTATATATGAAGTTGGAAAGTAAAACATGGAAATTCCTTCCAAACTTGAGTATTTTATTACCCCAAATCATGCAACTAGACTTTCCATGCTAATAATATATACTTATCTCTTAGAAATAACCAAGCTGGCACTGTGTCCTTATTCAATACCTGGTCTGCTAAGATTCAACACCAGACAACTTTCTTGAATGTTTGATGCCATAAATTGGAGACATTATTTTGTACGAAGACTATGCACAATTCTCTTTTCCCCATCTCAGGAGTGGTTTTTTTGAACTCTGATTCGCTATCTTCCCATCTATGATTAGTTTCATTGTGGGCCTTCATTCCTTTCTTGTTCAAAATAATCAGGGAACCAAGGCAAATTCTACATGTGCTAAAGAAAATGAAGAATCTCTTCCTTATGCTCAACAAACTGACAAAATTATGCCCAAAACAGAGGTGGACACTTCTTTATCATCTACTCTTCGTCCCCATAGTTACCAGGTTCCTTCACAAACTATAGATACAAGCATGAACAGTTCCCAAGCATCGGAATATGAAGAAGCCGAGTCCGGTATTTTTTTTAGCACATTAATAATTTGAAATGTTCTGTTTTCAATTTTCATATCTAGAGGACATTCTGAGTAGCCTTTTTTATGCCTTTATTCTTCAGTGTCACTTTTTCTTGTGCATGTTTAAAAAAATTAACTTGATGTAATTTTTACAGCATTCAATAACCATGCAAGTTCTGATTTCTATCCTTTCCTCAAATTACAACTTCCTGTTGAGAAGATTAAAGCTCAACCTGCTGATTCTTATTGTCCTAGGCCACTCATAGGTAAATTTCTTTATTTTAAATTGTTTTTTTGAGTTTAACTTTGATGTATTGTCAATGTAAATTTACACTATTGGTCATGCATTGTCCTATCACTCAAAGAATGTGACTTTTGAGGTAATTGTAAGAATCAAACTTTTTCAAATGATGTATCAATGCACGATGGCATGATAGTATAAAAACCTTTACATTGATAATGCATCAAAATCAAATACCTTGTTTTATATCTTCCATACATACTAGCCTTTTTATCAGGAAGGGCTGGCTGTACCTAACATGAATTGTATTATTGAAATTGGGACAGATGATCAAGAGAAGTTGCCTGTCATTCCTGGGGTGAATTATATTTCACTCACTCAAGGCAATAAAATGAAAGACATTCATAATTTTGGATTGACATATGAATCCTCAAAACCCTTTGGCTTATCCTCATGGGAAGGTATCTTAGAAAATAACGCTGAAAGTCAACATGTGCCTTTTCAGCCTTTATTTCCTGAAACGCAACCTGATAACATGGGATTCAATAGCAATTTTTCTCAAGGAGATGAGATAATGGTGCCACATCTGACCACCAGCATTACTGAGCAGCATGAGAATGGAAGTCTCATACAAGCTGAAGGAAATTGGCAGGTATTGTGTAAAGTGTAATGTGTACTAGTTAAATCAGTACTTCAAGTGGTACTCATTTCTTGCTATATTTTTTGTTATATAATAATATTTGGTTCTAAACAAATATCCAGGCTCTGTAGTGTTGTAGGAACTTTGACAATTTATTATATCTTTATGTCAAAAGTCAAAAGACTAGAGTAGAAACTAATGTCACTACAAAGTGCAGTTGGTATGATGCTATAAATATTTTTGATACCTTAATTACTTGTTTGGTGTTTCTGTGTAAAAAATATATAATCAAGCAACGGATTTTGCTTTATGTGTGACTAATTTTTATAAAAGATACTTAATTTTTATTTATTTTCATCAAACTCATTTTATTGTTTAAAGCTTAATCATCTTGTTAACAGGCTTATGGTGTTGATTCTTTACGCATGTCCAGTTGGCCTATAGATAGTGTGTATTCAGGCTCAACATGTGAGGTTAGTTGTAGCAACTGTGACAAGGAAGTTGATTTTCAAAATTCCTTGGAACAGTGTCTTCTACATCCACACCAACAAAATAAGGTTCTCGTGCAAAGTGATCCTCAAGAAAAACTTTTGAATACAAAAGGCAAGCTAACATCAGATTTGGAGGGCAATAGAAACCCTGATGGAATGGAAGACACGTATTTCACTTTTAAGGATGGACCTCCGGCAGAAGAGGGTCTGAAGAAGCTTGACAGTTTCAACCAATGGATGAGTAAAGAACTTGGAGATGTGGAAGAATCAAATAAGCAATCCACTTCTAATGCTTATTGGGATACAGTTGAAAGCGAAAATGAGGTTGGCAGCACAACTATTCCTTCTCAAGGGCACCTGGACAACTTTGTACTGGATCCATCTATTTCCCATGATCAGCTCTTTAGCATTATTGACTATTCCCCAAGCTGGGCATTTGAGGAATCAGAAGTTAAGGTATTTTCTTTGTATATTCTGCACTTGCAATTAGTTTTGATCATATGTACATTGAATCATTGTAGTTGCTTTTTTGCTTATCTATCAGTTATATTCTGATAATTTATTTCATTTATGAAAAAAAAAATGTATAGGTTATCATTTCTGGACGATTCTTAAGAAGTCAACATGAAGCAGAACAATGTAAATGGTCATGCATGTTTGGTGAGGTGGAAGTGCCAGCAGAGATCATTGCAAATGGTGTTCTCTGTTGTCTTACTCCGCCACACAAGGCTGGGAGGGTACCTTTCTATGTAACTTGTTCCAATAGGTTATCATGTAGTGAGGTGCGAGAATTTGATTTCCAAGTCAACTATACTCAAGAAGCCAACACTGAAGGTGAGAATAGAGGCAGCACTTTTGATACTTTTAGTATCCGATTTGGAGAAATGTTGTCCCTGGGGCATGCCTTTCCTCAGAATTCAGATTCAATCAGTGCAAGTGAGAAATTTCCACTGATAAGTAAAATCAGTTCTTTGCTGAGGGGAGATGATGATGATTGGGACAAGCTACTGAAACTTACTCTAGAGAAGGATTTTTCTCCAGAAAATTTACAGGAGCAGCTGCTTGAAAATCTTCTGAAAGATAAGTTACATGCATGGCTCATTCAGAAAATAACTGAAGATGGGAAAGGCCCTAATGTATTAGATGAAGGTGGCCAAGGTGTGCTTCATTTTGCGGCTGCTCTTGGCTATGATTGGGCCCTAGAACCCACAATAGTTGCTGGTGTGAATGTGAACTTTCGTGATGTAAATGGATGGACTGCTCTTCACTGGGCAGCATTTTGTGGCAGGTGAGTGAGCACCTTAGTGCTTGTGGCATAACACATTTCATCAGAACTGAAATGTAGTTTATCATTTAATGTACCACAACATACCTGACATTACATTAACATAATAGGTTGGTTCACTAGTATTAATTGCAACTTTGCAAGAGTAATAGTATGTGAGAAAGTGTAGATTAGTGCCATGTGAAAATATGTGAAATGGGCCTAAAAGCAGTTGAAATGCTCTTGTTGATACTAAATAAACTTCATTATATAGTACACCCAAAAGACACACACGCACACTTCATTTTAGGATTGAAGGATGGAAAGCCATCAATGAAGAAACTATAAGAAAATATCTGCTATGGAAAAACTACAGAATACCATGGTGGGAAGCACCTTCTGTTGCAAGTGAGAGCATCTAGGACAAACTGACTAGAAAGAATCCGCACTGTTAATTCTGAGTTTATTTTTCATTGTCTTGCATACTCTTGTCATGTTTCATTGAGTTCTTAAATCTTACTTTATCAGGGAGCGTACGGTTGCTTTTCTCATCTCTCTCGGTGCAGCACCTGGTGCACTGACTGATCCATGTCCAGAACATCCTTCTGGTAGAACACCGGCTGACTTGGCTTCTGCAAATGGACACAAAGGAATTGCAGGGTATCTTGCAGAATCTTCACTAAGTGCACACCTCACAACTCTTGATTTGAACAGGGATGTGGGAGAAAATTCGGGAGCAAAAGTAGTCCAAAGACTCCAAAACACTGCTCAAGTACATGATCTTGATGGTCCATCATATGAACTGTCATTGAAAGATTCACTGGCTGCAGTGTGTAACGCCACCCAAGCTGCTGCCCGTATTCATCAAGTTTTCAGAATGCAATCATTCCAGAGAAAACAACAAAAGGAATATGGTGATGACAAATTTGGAATATCTGATGAACGTGCTCTATCACTTGTAACAGTGAATGTAAAATCACACAAGTCTGGACCACGCGATGAGCCTGTCCATGCTGCTGCAATACGAATCCAGAACAAATTCCGTAGTTGGAAGGGAAGAAGAGAATTTTTGATGATTCGCCAACGAATAGTAAAAATTCAGGTACATTTGTGTTTAACAAGTGCAATGTGCAAGTGACATTACTTTATTGTTTGTGTTTATACTTTTCTAGGCCTTTTGGCCAAGATCTTGTGTAGCATCTATCATTTGTGTTCAATGTTTGATCTTATTCTCCTTCTTGCACCTTTTAATTGGATCTAATTTATGACGTCTATTTCCATGGTTACAGGCTCACGTGAGAGGTCACCAGGTTAGGAAAAGTTGTGGGAAGATAATATGGTCCGTTGGAATCTTGGAGAAGGTTATTTTACGTTGGCGTCGAAAAGGTAGTGGTTTGCGTGGATTTAAATCAGAGGCCATTTCTGAGGGAACTATGATACAAGATGCGTCTTCCACAGAGGATGACTTTGATTTCTTAAAAGAAGGCAGGAAGCAAACAGAGCATAGGTTGCAGAAAGCCCTAGCCAGGGTGAAGTCAATGGTTCAGTATCCAGAGGCAAGAGACCAATACCATAGACTGTTGAATGTTGTAACTGAGATCCAAGAAAATCAGGTATTTCAAATATACTTGAAAAGAAAAGTTTCTTTTTTCAGAGCAGTAGTAGAGCTTAAACATCTTTGTCTCTTTTGCAGGTAAAGCATGAGAGCAGTTCTATGAGTTCAGAAGAACCGAGAGATTTCAGTAACCTCAATGATCTTGAAGCATTGTTGGACGATGATATTTTCATGCCTACAGCAACTTAGAAGTTGGCTTTCATTGTGAATTGTATGACTTAGAATTTTACAGCAGAGTTAGGTAATGAACTTTCTCATTTAGACCATTATAGTAATCTTAATTCTTATTCTTTTATTAAGGGTCATTGCTAACGTTTCACAGAAAAATGCATAACCATTAAAACCATTCTCATAATGCAACATAAACGCGTCAGGGCGTCAGGTGCCCTGTCAAATGTAGAAATGAGCGGAACACATTTTAATCTTACGTTAATGCAAAAGCTTTAATGAAATTGTGAAGGCAACCTTTCAATGCATGCGCAGTTGTTAAGAGGGGCAAAGGTTGTCTCCCAACTAAGATATTGCCGTATACCCTCCTCCTCCCCCCCCCACCAAAAGCTTAACGGAAAAGCACATAATTCGATTTGGAACCTATTCGAAATAAATAGGTGACGAAGGTAGTAGTTTTGCTTTATAAACTCGAATCAAGTTTATTGCACTCCTCACCAAAGAAAGCCTGACTATAACCAAAGAGTTCGTCAAACTAAAATAAATTAACCTAACACGAGTTGGGACCAATTTCCATTTCATTGTGTTTCTAATGTTGGTTGAACGTTCGCAACCATGAATACACATCGCTGGTGAAATTTTCACCCGATATATATACTGTTCTTATTGTGAGAAAGAGGAAAAAGGACAGTGCTAACACCATCCACTGTACATACCAACCACCTAAGTATACATTTTCACAACCCGTATCCTCTGGAGGGTGTAACAGCTCCTCCAACAGGTTGAATAAAGGGAAAACGGTAGAAGGGAAAATAAATATGGAAACCAGGTGAAAAAGAAGTCCAAATGATTTAAGTACTGAAGAGTTGTAGAACTCCTCCGTCTAATTCCTGTTACCAGAGCCAAGGCTCTCATAGAACAAAATGTAGCCATGATCTGTATTACTTGAATATTCCTGTGATGATCCAAAGAACGTCTGCACAGCAGACTCGTCAATCATCTCTACATTTTCGTCATCAAAAAATAACCAGTGGTTATGGCTTTTCACAAGGCTGACATAATGCCCATGGTTAGGCCCACTCCCAACATGGACAACTACTGCAAATAGAGAATACTCGATATCTGCCTCTTCAACAGTGTTGCTCAACTTCAGCTCAAGGGGAAAAACCACCCGGTAAGACAGCTTCTTGTAGCGACCTAGCTGCTCCATGTACTTAAACCGCTTAAGATGGATGACCAAGATGTGAGGTGGTTTCTTTATCTTCATCCTCTTCTGAGCTTCTTGCAAACTAACACAATAAGAAAGTTCGCATCTCAGTCATCAGAATGGTGAATGGACATGGAAAACAATAGAACAGAGTACATATATATTTTTATACACTAAACTGACGCAGCCACCAAGGGTGTGTTTGAATACTCATCCACACACATTCCCATGCACTCAAACGGAAAAGCATGAGTGTGGGTGGATTGAGTTGAACCTACGTTTGGCTTTTCCAAATGATAAAACAAACATGCACCAAATCCCACTCACTCAGTTAACACGCAGAATCAAATGTCATGAATATCATGGCTTGCATCTTTTAAATTGTAGAATTAGTCAATAAACGTATATAGCATTATACCTTCTATTAGAGGAGATAAAAAATTCCATAAACCAATAGATGATATTCAAGCTATTTAAAAGAAGTGCTTGATCACAATCAATTTAATTTACTGCAGTTAAAAAGGGTAGATGTAACTACGAAAACTTTACAAGAAATTATTAAAAATGATCTTGATCCAGAAGATTTTCTGAAAAGTTGGTTTTCAACAAGGTCAATGACATCAATTAATCCATGCAGTCAATTCAATCTAGTGGGATAAGGCTTGATTGCTGTTGTTCTTATTAGATAAACAGGCAGCAGATTAGTTGAGCTATGTAAGTGACTCAAAATGATTTTACAGGCTCTTTAACTTTACCAGAATACTCAAGAAACCAAGCAACAGCTGATGCATAGTAGTATTTGGATTTCTGGTAATTATTGAAGCAAAATTTGCGCCTAAAAGCCATATACCTGCAGCATTTGTCGCAAAAAAATTTGTCTTCAGCATTCAGCGTCTCAGTGGAGCTGAAATTTTTCAAACAGCTTGTAATTGAACTGTTTTGCTCAATATCAAGACTCAAGTCAAAAAATGTTTCATCTCTAGCTGTCACTGTTTCACATTGCAAGCACCTCGTCTCATTGGTGAGTATTCCCTGATCAGAGCAAGATAAAAAAATAAAATTCCTCAAAATAGGAGTCTAATTTTTCTGATTGCTACAGAGTAAGAGCAACAACACTCCCACCCCACAAGAAAAAAAATGCACAAAAATTGGCAGAAGTGACATTACAATTTTTTACATTGTCAAAGAATAAAGTTCATCGATAATAAATTAATAGTATCTTAGATAATGTGTGCAGATCTCCATTATAATACACATAAAAGCCAATATGAATGTATTGTCCATAAATGTAAGACACCTAAACTAGTAAGCAAAAGAACGATATTTGACTGAATCCAATATAAAAGCTTGCTACTTTTGGTCCCTCCAAATTTTGTTGCAGGCAAGAAGCAAAAATGAAAACATTATTGATCAAGCAAAGTCACCTGAAAATTTTTGTGTACCCAAGTAACTAAAGGCTCTTTGTGAACACCATTAGCTTGACCATTCTTGGGCCCATTAACAATCTTTTCAGAAGGTGGTGAGGTCTCCTGATCAGTTTTTGCAGCCTGAGCCTCTTTCTCCAGAATGTCAACAAGTTCATTCAGCAAAAAGTTCAAGAATTCATGGGCATCCTACCAAAAAGAGAAGATCCACAATAACAATGTTGTCTCTAATGAAACTTTGATAAAATAAAAGACATAATGCAACCAATGAAAAATTTTAGTTTAACAGATACAACCAATGATAAATCAATGTTGTCTCTAGTTAGGATTCAAATTTATATAAGCTGCAACTCGGGGAGCAAAGACATGTGCATAAGATGCCATGCCCATTAGCATAGCATCCTTTCATAAACATGGACCACGGAGAAACACGTGTAGATAATTACATAGGCAAGCATTGTACATGACTATGACACAAACTAATCTGCTAATTATAATATAATCATTACTGTCAAAAGTTTCTAGAATGATCACCTTTCTGCAAAGGAAGCTCATTCTTGACAGTTTAAACATGTACCTGGTGCATATAGCTACGAAAGAGTTCATTCTGCTTTTTCAACCTCTGTACAAATCGTTTGGGAGCAATAACACCAGTTTTTTTCTTCTGGGAACTTATCTATACACCAATAGAAATAAACATGTCACATTCACAACCAATAAAGAAATAAATAGGCATTTAAATACCATTAAATGAACATTTGATTCAAGAGAATAATTGGAAATTTTATTCAGGGTATACAAAATGGAGATACTTTCAAAAAATACACTACAAATATTTTGAAGCAAGTTGTCAGCCCTCAGGCATAAGAGATAGCAAGTGCCCATCAAGTAGACATTTGAGACAACTACTTGGACAAAACTGCTATACTATTATTATTTATTACTATAGATATACTGATATATATTACAATATGTAAAAACTTAAAAAAGCACACTGAAATAGCACAGAGCCATTTCTGAGGCATGCAAGCTCAAGCATACTACGAAGCAGAGTTAGGCAAGCATACAATTACCTGCACAAGTTTCATGATAAAGGCAAAGAGAAAAGGGAAATCACATAAAAAATAAATAAATAAAATAAAAAATGGGCTAAAGCCTACATAAAACACTGCAGAGTGCAGATTACATGAAGCAATTTCTCATAGAAAAGTAATAGCTTTTATACTCAAGCATACTTCAACATGGAATTTAATAAGCATGGGATCCCCTATTGCAATTTCTTGTCTCCCAGGCAGAGAGCAACTAGAAAAAATACAACAGCTAACAATGAAAATGTCATATATATATATATATATATATATATATAAGTAAATAAGCCTAACACAAAAAGGATATGATAAAATAAAAGTTAATATATATATATATATATATATATATCAGGCATTATAAATAGCTAGTCATGTTTTGATAAACTTCACCTGATCGACAGAATAAAGTCCATAGTATGTTTTCATAAGAACTGAAGCATTAAATAAATCAACATGCAGATTTGTCGGTTACAAGTGCATTTTTCAAAAATATAAAAAAAAAGCCCTTCCATATTATGATTAGAAAAAGAAAATCTACGTTACGAGGAACAGTAAGCATTTAACTGTGATCATGAGAACATGGATTTCTCAAATTCTTTGGATATGTCCAAAGATGGTCCAGTTTGGCCAAGTTAATTGAATTGTCTTAGACTCTTAATCATACAACTCTTTTACATTCTGTTTTCATTTAATAGGATATATTATTGTGTGTTTTTGTTTGTCTCTTAAACAATATCCTTCTTCAACCCACAAAACAATAACAAGAAAAAAGGAAATGCAAAATTAGAAATTTGGTAGCCAATGTTATTAAAAAAAAAAAACATGGTTACAAATCCAAAGCTAAAGATAACAAGAACCACAGTGAGGAATTCAAATGATAAAATGATTAAAAATCAAACAAAGCTAGGAAATCAACAGCTTCTCTGATGAGAGCCCAAGGAAAGCAATATAGCCACAACTAGTTCCAACAATACAACTTTCAAATGATGAATTATGTCTGGCCCAATCAGATATGAGCAAGCTTAGAGGCAGCAAGCATGCAATGCCAAGAAAATTCCAAACTACAGACTGATTACCTGTGAAAATAAATCTGCTAAGCAAGTTAAAAGATTTTCTTCCGCATCTAGGCTTTTGTTATTCCCATAATAGTCTAATAATTGTTCACGAAACGGAACACAGAAGTATAGTGCCTGTACAAGGTGGCAAAATGAGAAACTTGTTAGCAAAGTACCGTAAAAGACTTCGCAAAAAATAACAAACTGACCATCTTCAAGTTCTGTCACCACTCACCAGACACTTCCGGTGCACTTACTGATATTTTTGCGATGGTAAACATATTGGTTGCAATAACTACTTCTAAATTGACACATGCACCTATAGAGACGTTGATAACACTACTGAAATCACCAAATAAAAGATTGAACACCAAATCTAATTTTAAATCTTAATAGAACAACGAAATCATTTTAAACGAAAATCCAGTACTTAAAAAATCCACTAACCATGCCAACAAAATGTCCAAGATAATAATATCCATTAAAGTACTAAAGTGTCTCGAACAAACTTTACATAGAATCAATAAACCATCAACACAGGCAAAAATAACTCCAACAGAAAAGAAGAATCCACCACTAGCAGAGACAAAAAAGGATGCAGTGAATACTATAGTATCGATAGTAGGCGAAAAATAGAAAGAAAAACGAAAAAGCGTAAATCGGATTGGAACGGAAAAGGATTAAGTGTGTGGATTGAAGACCTGCAAGACGCTGTTGCAGTAACAAGTGTTGCCGAAATTCTCGAGGCCAAAGTAGCGTTCTCCTTCGGGGAATTGGTCTCCGAGAGCCTTCTCAAGCTTGGAGCCCGCAGCGCCCATGACCGCGTCAACCGATCACAAACTCAGATTCCTATCCGATTCAACTCAGTGACTCGCACCATGAAATGCTCAATGACCGTTTGGATCGTTAGGGTTTTGTCGCAGAACGAAGCTTTTGTGGTGTCTGGTTTTCTATATAGATATAATAGCAAGGAATGAAACAAGGGTTTCTCCAGAGATAGAGAGAGAGAACTGAGGAGGACGAAAATGCAGATGAAAATTTTGAAGAAAAAATTAGGAAATATAAATAAAGTAAGATCGTAATTGTTGTTACCATTATATGTGTCTGGGTTTATCTTGACAATTTTCTTTTTTTTTTATAATCGAAACTAAACTATTCGTGTATAGTAAACTTCACATTTATCCGAAGCAATTCAATTCAACGAAAACTCAATAAATTTGAGTAACACTTTTTTTTCCTGAGGTAAAATTTGTGTTGTCATAGTGTAAAGATTTTATTTTTTTTAGAGGAATGAAATCCAATTCATTAAAATTATTGTGTAAATGTTCCATCTCTTGTGCATGAATAAGGATCGGTTGATATCTGGTGTAACAATTAATAAAATAACACTTTGATATTTTTTTATAAAATATAAATTTAACCAATATAATAGTTAGATTATATAATTTTTTATTCGTAATCTTTTATATCATTGGAACATTTTAGATATGTTATCATATTTATATATTTTTTAAATATCATATTATATATTAAAATAAATTAATATAATGATTTATTAAATAATTTTAAAATTATGTAAAATTTGAAATACATGATTATAAGTATAATATTATATAATTCAATTTTTGAATTGGTTAAATTTTTATTATATAAAAAATTATTAAATATGTAATTCATTAACTTTGACAAATGAAGAAACCTTAATCTTTTATAAATATTTATAATTTATTATATATGTAAGAGATCAAAGGTTTTATGATTGAATAGAAAAATGAGAAATGCTAGTCGTAAATCTTTTAACATATTTTTTAAACACTTTCTAATCGTTTGAGATTTGTTGAGTAATACAAAATTTGATGAGTTTCAAGCCTATCTAATGATCATCTCTCCTTATTTTATAGTTTTAAATAAATTATAATCCATAAGAGTGAATGTGTTAGGAAAAGTGTGTTAAAGATTGTGTTGTTAACGCTCTTCTAGAAAATTTGTAATTGCAAGGAAAAATTTCACTAATGGTGTATTTGGTAAAAAAATAAAAAATAAAAGTAAGAAATATGGTTGAAATTGAAATTGTCTAGTAAGAGAGAAATATAAGAGATGTGAAGGAAAAATAATCTTTTTTATTAGTTTATATTATAAAACTAACTTTAATATAAGAATTAAAAAAGTTAAAAAAATTCACCACAAATTATCTCATATTAAGACTTAAGAGGAATAAAAATGTGTAAAAAAAGGTACAAAGAAAAATAAACTTAGTTATAGTTTCTCATGTACAGTAGATATTATTTTTTAATTAAAATTAAACTTTTAGTAATATATAAATGTGTATTAATGAATTTTGTATTAAATGAAACTACATATTACCAACCTATTATCTAACCTATGCTAGGATAGGTCAGGCCAAGTCAAATTACTCGTTTTTGATAACTTTAAGTATAACTAACAAAATATTAAGAACTTTTTATTGTCTTCTTATGCCATAAATTCCAGTCGCCTTATCATAGGATATTGAGACTGATTCAAAAAAATTAAAAACATTTTATCAAATTTTTTATATAAAAAATACTTTTCTTTTAAGAAAATATTTTAAGCACACTCTTGTCCAATATATTTATTCTAATTTTTATATTTAAAGATATGTTTAAATATTATCTGATCTTTATAATTGTATGAATTGAATTTTTTTAGTTTTATAGTTAAAAATGTTACCTTTTAGTTCATATTTATACTTTTTTTAAAAAAAATTAGTCCTTTTTTTTATTATTGTTGTAGGGATTAAAATGAAAATTTTATCAAACTATAAAGAATACCATGGAACAAAAAGTTACGTATGGGAACTAAAGCAAAATATTTTTAATTATAAGAAATAAAACATAAAATTATGAAAAACCAAATAATATTTAGACTTTTAGAGATATTATTATTTAAATCATTACTTTTAAGAGTCTCTGACCAAAGGTGTAATTAACCACGAGGAAGGGAGATATATAAGGTCTTTGTTAAAATTTTAAGTCTCGTAAGTTCATGTACTTTAGAACTTAGAAAGGAATAAACTTTGATTCCTGAAGATTTATTCTCCTCTTCTTCCTTCTAGAATCCTCTAGCGCATGAGGATCATTGTTGGGCTATAGGTTGAAAGCTTGAAGTTGAGAATTAAATCGGTGGTTTGGTGCGAAGCTTCCCTATAGCTCAAAGTTTTATAATTTCCTCTTCCTTTTTTTTTCCTGGATTGATTGTAAAGTAACGGGAGTTAAGCCAAATTCTTGTTGTGTTTTTAAGCTAAATGCATTGATTTGGTTGCAATTGTGTGGGTGAATTGCATGATTTGGCTTAGGGTTGTTGGACCTTGGGGTTTTGGCTTACAAGAGAAGAATTTGGTGGAATTGATATATCTTTTGTTGTATGTCTGATTTAAACTCAAATTTGAGTTGTAGATGATGTATTTGTATGGAATGCTACAATTGCATGCTTATGTTGGTTGATTTCCAGGTGAATGAGACAATTTTCATGATCTGCATTATGTAGAAATAACAATCATGTCAAGTGCACCTTCGTGGCACCAGGTGTAATTCCTATCAAAGGTCTTTATCTCGTTCATGTCAGGTGCAGGATCAGTGGCATTAGGCACGAGGAGAGATACTCATCTTAGGTTGGAAGCACTAAAAAGCCTTTAACTTAGTAACATTGGACCTTAGTTGGGTGGCGTTAAGTATAAGCAAGGCAAACGTTTTTTGCCTAAATGACGTTGAGCGACAATAAGGTGACATTATGCATGAATCAATAAGAGACTTTTTGCTTGATATGAGGTAATACGTGGATTTTTCCATGTCAGGCGTGAGAACTCAAGGGTTTCTTACCTCAACGACACCATGCGTTGGTTGAGTGGCATCAGACAATGCCAAGCACAAGTTAAGTGGTGCTAGGCACAAATTGTTTTGAAATTAATTTTTTATTGGTGAGTTGGATGGTGAACATGAATAACATTGCTTAATCTATTATGTGTTATATGTAGGTGATGATAATAAACATTTACATGCTATACTTATGTAGTTAAAATGGTGATGAACATTAATATGCTATAAATTGCATGATTTGAATGTTAAATAGGCATTGGTATGCTACTATTGAATAAGTTGTAGAGCATTTGTATGCTAATCTTGGATGAATTGTTGAGCATTGGTATCCTAAGTGTGATTAGTGTGATTTTATCTCCATATACATTAGCTTGGGGTAATATATATAAATGATATGTGTTGAGGTGTTGGTACTAAGAATGTTGTAAGCATTAAAACATGTTGATCGGCTTAGACCTAGAGGAGACTGTATTGTTTTGAAATCTAGTTGAATATTCCATACAGTGAATCTTATTGCCATGTTTTAGTAGGTCAGTTGTTGAAAACATTCCTTAAGTAGGTGTGAAACTCTTGGAGTAAATTTTTTAAGTTTTCTTTATGTCCTCAGTTAACGTGGAGTAAATTATGAAATCGATGACCACTACCCATAATTGATTATTGGAAAGGTTGTATGGTTCCTTAAGAATAATTAGTAGGCTAATTCCATAATTAACTTGGTGATGCATGTCAGGGTTGTAATATGTATATACCTAGCTATACTAGTCTTAGCGGTGAAACTGAACTTTCTTGGTGTAAGTGATGACACTTGAGAAATCAAAAGTAAGGATTGAAAGTGATCAGATTGATTTGGTAGGTTCAAATCACTTAGATTGTTCAAGTGTGTTTAGATGATTTTCGTAGGTGAATACATGACGACACATTAGATATGGTGTTTGCATATGATGTAGTGTGAGTTGATTATGTTTATATGCATGATATGAATACCTTGTATGATGTGATTGTGGTGAATGTTTAACTTGCTTTGGTGTTTTAACTTTCAAATATAGTAATTGTTGTGGATGAGAATCTTGTGGTATACTTGCTTGATTTGCATGATAGTGTTGAGTATAGATGCTTCATTCTTATACTTGTTTTGTTTCTGAAGTCTAGCTTGTCCTTGTGTGTTTTCCATGTGGTTTAAATTGCAATAATCATGATTTTCATGTGAGCATGGTAGAGTTAGTTGGAGAAGAGCTTTTGGGGCAGTTGTAGGGTTATGTCATTGGCGATGTAGTTGATGACTACTTTATTGATCTGTATAAATATTGTTTAACCGATAATTTAGAATTTTATATTCGGTACTTATCAGATTACTATATATATATATGTGTGTGTGTGTGAATATAATTAAAAACAACTATATAAATATATATATATATATATATATATATATATATATGTGTGTGTGTGTGTGTGTGTTATTGTG